TGTTGCACTTTATGTTAAAATAATTCATGTGATGTCTTTCTGTTAAACTCTTTATTTCTGATTGAACTAAATGTATGACACGAGATGTCAGAGCGCTGTGTGAGGTTACATGTCCGGTAGACTCTTTATGTTTTTGATTCTTTTTTCAGAAAATAAATCAAGTTAATGTTTTAAAATAATATATCAGTCTCATGAAGAGAGGCTTCAGTCTTTGTTGAAGTGGTCGCAGGTTTGAATCCTGATTCTGATTTAAAATGACCAAAACAAAATCCTCAAATCAGCGAATAGAAATGTCTGCAGGTCAGCTAGAAATACCAAAGAAGTGAGAATTAAATATATTTAAATTAATAACTGCAGGGACTTCAAGTTTAAATGTTGACTCTTTATGTTCTTGTTACTATTGTAAAAAGGGATGAATAAAAAGATTTGACTCAATCAAAGTGTCTGATTCTTGAACAATAACATCAAACTATTGAATATCTGTGCTCTGCTGACCTCTGGTGGTCAAAAACAGAACTGTTTGAGTTTCTGTTATTTTAACTGCAACACTGAGATAACAGTTCAAATATTTGTAAGTTAAAGGACAGTAAGAACTCTGAGGTCAAAGGTCAAAAGCTCAGTTCTGTTTCTGAAGTAAAGCTCTGTGTTTCATACTGAATATATCACCTGGAGGAAGAACTCTGAATACTTTTTTTATTTCACTTGAGCTGATCCATGTTTTACTCTCTGCTCGAGTCATTTCATATTTATCTGATTTTATTCCTTTTTAATTAATCATTGATAATCAATTAGTGAAATTGTACATAAACACTTTAGACATTAAATATATAAAACAGTAAGACTTAAATTCAATTGAGCAACACAGATTAATAAGGGTTATAGACGGAGAAAATATAAAAAAATAAGTAGAGAGTATTGTTCACTGTGGATCAGGAGCGCCCTCTACTGGACAACCTTCATGATGACACCATATCTAAATGATCCTAATGGTGGTTTCTCCAGTAAATATTTTGTCAAAAGTTTTGTTTTTATATCAGCGCATTTATAAAAAAATCACCCATTCATCCATCTATCTACATTTTCTTACTTATCGAGGTCGGGTCGCTGTGGCAACAGGAGAAGTACGTCAACCCAGACTTCCTCCCCATCAACATTTTCCAGTTCTTCCTGGAGGATTCTGAGGCGTTCCCAGGACTGACAGATATCCCCTCCAGTGAACTCTGGGTCTACCCCAGGGGGTTCTCCCGGTCGGGCATGTCCGAAAAACCTCCAAAGGGAGTCGTCCAGGAGACCCAATCAGACGCCCGAAACAACTCAACTGTCTCCTTTATATGTGAAGGAGTAGCGGCCACTTTTTCAGTCACTACCCAGAATGCATCTTTTTACAGTCTATGGCGTGACCACAGAGGGTTGGAATGAAGATCGGTAAATGGAGAGCTCTCCCTTGAGTCTCAGTTCCCTCTTCACTTCAACAGTTTGGTACAACGCCCCCCGTATACGCTGAGCCAATCCATCTGTGATTCGAAAGTCCTTCTCTGTATCCTCCCTGAAATCCTCCCACACCTGAGGAAGACCCCGGAGAAACAAGAAGAAACAAATTGAGACTCAGACAGTTCTGTCTTTGACCACTAGAGGTCAGCAGCAGTACACAGCCATAAAACTGACATTTAAGAATCTGACACTTGCATTTAGAAGTTCATGAAAAGCACGTGATTAAGGTTAAAGGACTAAAATACAGTTCAGTTCAGATTAAATAACACATTTCCGTCTACTTATTACCATAGTGCAATACTAACTTTTGAAAAGGCTTCCACCTGAATTGTTTGTTTTGATGTACACTGAGCAACAAGTCATGATGGACAAAGTGTGAGGTGTTGTCTTCATGTCTGTTTGCCTTTTTGTTTGTTTGTCCCCTTCAATGATATTCATTAATCTTCCTGTTTTATTATTATCTTTTATTCATTTGTTGTTTGGACCATAAAATATCGTTTCCCAGCGTTTACTTTATAAAGTGATGATAAAAAACAGAAACAATGCAAGTGATAGAGAGCAGACATCAGAACCATGGACAGAGTCAGAACTGACATAAAATGTCAGACACAAATACATATTAGAAATAATCTGAAGAAATGTATTAAAACAGAGATGATTCTTTTTTCAAATGAATTGTAATTTTTTATTGTGATTATTTTTCAAATGATTTGTTTCTGTGGGAGGAAACTGAAGTGCTCGGAGTAAACCCACACCACCCAGGACTCCATGTGGGCTCACATGTCGTCCTGTGTGGCCCTGGTGGGACCTGAAGTCCTTCCTCATATGCAGGTTAGACCCTCTGAGCTAGGAGCCAATGAGAGGCTGATAACAGAGAATAACCTGAACATGAGGTCTGACGTCAGGCCCCAGTAGACCTTTCTCACAGCTGTCATAGCAGGAGCTGAAAGGCTCGCTGCTACACAAAATGAAGGCTGTGAGAAAGGTCTGTCCCCCCCCCCCACCCACCCACCCACCTGAGGACCAGCGATGGTAACATGTCTTTAGTCACGTTTAAAGAGGCTAGTGAAAGAATTCAACTTGGATTTGAAGAATCCTTTGATTCCGCTGCTCTCTTTGGGTAAAAGGCGCCTTTTCAGAGTCTCAATCACAAACTCGATGACTGAGGGAGTCTGTGACAGCAGGCTCCTCCAAAGCCACCCTTCACCAAGCTTCTGGCACAGGTCTTTGTGCACCTTCTCACATATCTTCCTGATCTTCTTGTCTTGTAGATCCATTTTAATTCCAAAGGCTCTTACCTCTACCAAGAGCATGTCTTTCAAAGTTTCTATAGTGTCTTTGTAGGCTTCATGGGACTCACTGATGGGCACGTCTTGCATTACTTTGTGTACCAGCTCTGACACCAGCATATCACAGGCCAGTTCATCCCACTCCTGGATTGTGGGGACTTCTTCATACTCAGCTTCGTCTTCAACCTCCTCCTCCTGATCTATTGGAGTTGGTTCAACCTCCTTGTCCTGATCAGTCAAAGGTATTTCTACTTCTTCCTCCTGCTCAGTACGTGTCTCTGAAGATGATTTCTCTTGCTCAGCTGTGTTTTCAGCAGAACAAGACAACATCTTTGCCAAACATTTGTTTAGCATTTTTCCGACCTGTTTTGCTATTTTTCTCACTCTGGCAGTGAAGGTCTTGCATCCCTCAGATTTCTCTCCACTGCTGTCATGCCCTTTGGAGAGGTCAAAGTGAACTCTCTTCGTTTGAGTGGCTTCTGTGACCATGAGCCCTGTCACCTGCAAACCCATCACCTCAGCCAAAGTCTTGGCAATGGTGACACCCAAGTCAAAACTTTATTTAAAACAGTAGTCTCACAAAAATGGGTCCCTGGAAGACTGTTGGAGCTAAAAAGCTACCAGAGAGTGTTTCACTGTTTCGGCCCCTCCACCACAACTTCTCGCACAGCATTTTATCTTCCAACAGTTTTACAGGGACCAAATTTCCTCTGAGGACAGTTTGTTATGTATAGAGTTATGAACATATACCACTGAATGTGTACATTTCTCCAACTTTCACATTTCTCTATCAAAAATCCACAGTGCATTTTTAAAATCCAAAACTATTAGACCAATAAGTTAACATTTGAAGTCAGCAAACTAAGTGTTTCTACAGCTTTTTGAACTGGTTATTCATAAATCAACCAGCAGGTGGCGCTTCACGACAGCATTACAGAGCAGGCCTGGCGCTGAGTGAGTTTATTATGTTTGACTTACCCTTCACGGGTTTCCATGGATCACGATTTAACTTCATTTAATGATAATGAAACATGTAAATAATAGCCTACTTTTTTACAAAATTGTCTGAAATAATAAACAATATTTAGGGAGTAAAAACAAAAATTAGAATGCCTGATTATGACAAAAACATGAAATATTAAAATAGAGATATACAATATACATCTTAAATTTAGTAAACCGAGCACCTCCTGCATAGGGATACAACTGAACAAATTATTAAATACATTTAACCTTAATTAAGTTCGTTAAACAGTAAAAAAAAAATAAAAAAAAAATAACCAGATATAAATCCAAACACGAATATTAAACACTGTTCGGTTGCGTTATGAACGTGCTCCGTTAGAAACAAATGGGACAGGTGAATTTGGACTCCGGTAACCATAGTGATACGTAAGAAACCGTCAAGTTAGAAAGACTGACGCACACCAAAAAGAGGTTTCATTTCAAAATAAAAGCACTACTCATTCCTAATCTCATTGCAGCAGAAAAAGTATTTATCACATAAAGATGCCGCAAACAGATTCCGGTAGTCATGTATTTTATATAGCACATGTAAAAAACCAGCGTTACCAAGTGCTTTACAAGTTCTTTAGAATAAAAGAGGAATAATGGTTCATTAAAGGAGGCAATCAATAAATGAACATGTAGGCTAAATAAAAAAAAACATAGTTAGAACAGAAAAGCCTGCTTAAAAATAAATAATAATAATTCAAATGATTTTGAAGATTTTAAAGAAAATGTTTATTAAGCAGGCACATGCATACATGTACACACAAAGTGGACTTTAATCAGACAAAAAGTAAAACACACACACGTTATATTTGTCTTGTTTTTAATTGATTAATTTCCTTTTAACGCCTTCATCTTTTCTTTTTTAATCTGTTCATCGTCAGGCGCATAGGGAATATTGTTTTTTATTACATTATTGTCAACAAGGCACATGATTATTTTATTGTGACAAGTATCCAAGAATAGCCGGAAATAGCAATGTTACATAAGCTAGCTTCACTGTTCTCCTCCTCCTCCTCCTCCGGTGAAGCCCATAATGTAATCTAAACTGAAGAAACTTTAAAGGAACTCGACGAGCTGTCCTTCAAGAAACTTCCGCAGCGCTTTAACGTGACCCCTGACCGTGCTATGAACACTTAACGTGACCCGTTGACACCGAGAGTCCGGGCCTGTCCGGTAACCGCTGGGAGGGAACACCGACCTGTTACTATGCACATGCTGGCGTCAAACGGATCCGTAATGGACCTGGAGTCGGAGTGGGTGAAAGTAAAAGCGCACTTCTGTGGGTGAGTTTCATCACAGTGTTAGCAGACAGTAGTTAGCATGACAGGTGGGAGAGGAAGGAGGGAGGGGGGGCTGTGACACCTGTGGAATACCTGCCGGATGTGTGAGGGTGTTATGGGTTAGTTGGTAAGGTTGGCTATCTTGAGTCAAGCTCTGTCGGTTACAGTGAGGCAACACGTCATTAACGGGATGACCTCATACGTAATTAACAGTTAGACATTAATAATAATTACATTTTTAATAAAAGTAAAATTAAAGGTTCGACATCCCGAGGGGAATGTTGAGTAGCCTACTTTATTCAACTTTAACTGTATTTCATTATTATCATTACATTGTTCGGGTAATGGGAATTGTGTCGTTGATGTTTGTTGCTTTGGACCATTGCTTTGGCAAGATTTCAGCAGTTGCCCCTTATATTGCATCCAGTTTGACCACTAATCACAATATTCATACACTTAAAGAAAACTTGCATACAGCTTTATATTTACCAGAATTTATTTATTTTAAAATAAAAAATACTGCTAAACAAACGTGAATAAAATGGTAATAACACTAATGTTTCTTATAAATAAATACAAATAACTAGTGTAACAGAACAAACTATATCAAACAGTGCAGGGAGCAGAAGTGGTCCCAGACTGCCCAGGGACTGGATGGATGGATTTAAATGTTTATGATTGCATCTGGAGAGAGAAGACGAGCATTTGTGAAAAAAAATGGATTTTATAATATAGTGTTTTATTTAAATATTATTTTCTGTTCAGAGCAGTACAGAAACTTCAGCATAGTTTTTCAGGTGAGCCCAAACGTTTTCCTTACAACCAGACCTACAGCATGCACACATATCTATTCAGTGAGGACTTCATGCACAAAATGCATTCATGCTATTAAACATAAATACTCTAAAGGCAAGTGCTTAAAACTATCAATGACAACAGGAGGTGGAAAATAAACACCTCAATCGACTAGGGTGAAAGCTAACTAAGTACACAAAGATGTGAATAAATAAACAAGTACGTCTTGTGTCCAACAACATTCAGAAAAGAAGAAGTGTATTTCTTATACTGGTTATTTTCTTTAAAAGAATAATCTTTACCTAATGAATGTACAGGAAGTTCGCTGACATTTGAAGCCAATTTTTTTACGTAGTGGCCGAAGCTGGTATTGCTGCAGCACGTGATGCAATTGGACCCAAAAATACGGGAATCCATTTCACCTCTAACTTTTACCACAGACTTTACCTACTTCTACTTGAATTAAGAATGAGTATATTGATGCGTCTGTTGCAGAGACACAGATAGTATCCTGGTATATTTTTTATATTAGCCAATAATGTTGCCTTGATAAATGAATTATAGAACTGAATTGTGACGGAGTGCATGTTGTGTGGATTAACAGTATCAGGGTCCAGTGAGCCTGGCAGACTCCTGCTCCTCATGATTAGCAGAGAATGAAAAGCCAGCTTGTTAATTAATCCAGTCAGTATGCTAAAAGAAACTCATGGTTCAAAGGCCCAATCAGTAAGATATGCAGTGAATGAAATGATAAACTGACCTTAGTAGGTAGGCGGTTTTAAGGCACCCCCACACAGCCGTTTTGGACGCCCCTCGGTTTGCCAGATATGAGAGCAGTTATCAGGTCAAACCAACAGGTGTTGCAGTGATGGAAGCGGGCAAGAGAAGTGGTTCAGATAGAAGTGATTGTACCCGACCTAAAAAGCCTCTGCATGTTTCTAATAAGCTCCACGAGCAGAAACGTGCTCAAACTAGGATCAATATTGGAGAAGCTTTTGAAAAATGGAGAGAGGTTAGAACACAGAAAGGTTTACAGACCCATGCAGAGCTGGATAAACACTGAAGCTTCAGTGTCCACCACATGGTGACCTGAGTGAGCATGGACTCTAGAGAGGAGGGGGGGACAGCTCTCTACAATGTTTAGAATCTAGACCCATTTTAAACACTAGGTGTCAGAGTTACATACTGCTCCTTTAAGTAATGTTGAATAACATCTTGTTATGCCACTCTGTTTGACGTAATGATCAGACATCTTTAATTACTTTGATTACACTTCATTGAAAACCTCCAATGAGTGTGCGATGGATTAGCTTCATCCTGACGGTTGTATCACTCTGCCAGTATTTTAAACTATTTACAGTCTTATAGTAAACTGATGTCACCGGTATTTATAATTAATCTATAACCCATAAAAAGGAGTAAACAAAACTAACGATGAACAGTCCCTAATCCCTACTGACTTCACTCATGGCCACGGGTTATTTTAATGTCATCTAAGTTATCACATGGGCTCTGTACTTTCTACTCTACTGGCTTTAAAAATCAAAATCTGTTAAGTTCAGATGTATGTTCAAAGATCTTTGAGAGTCAGCACTTAAGACAGGCCGAGCCTTGAAGTATTTGCTCCGCTCACAGAGGGAACGGTCTGAACAAGAGCATAACCATGTTGACCTTTGAACCCTCTAATCAGAATATTTATGTCCCTTTGACCTCAAATACTGAACAACTGTCCTTGTGTGCTGGTTACACCTCCTACACCTGATACTGACTGTACCAGGCGACCTCTCAGTCACAGGAACGTTAACAATAAGGAGAAGCCTCTGCGGGCAAATTACACCCAAGGGGGCTGCGAGCTGAGCTGCTGCTAACGTTAGCTCAGTCTGTTTGTTTGTGTTTTGCTCATCATTTGAGAAGTATTACCTTTTTATTTTCAATTCCTGAGATTTTAGAAATGTTAAATGATATAAAAATCTTCCAGGAGCATCAATTTACTAAAGTATACATTTAATGACAACGAGTATAAAAAATACCAACGAGATAAGCAGCTGAAAAAATGTAGAAAAGTTTATACAACATCACCGATCAGGTTACAGTAATTCTCTGATTTAAATACAAAAAAATACTGGCTTCTGTGTGTGTGTGTGTGTGTGTGTGTGTGTGTGTGTGTGTGTGTGTGTGTGTGTGTGTGTGTTCTGACTTGTGTGGTTGTTAACAGTGTGGAGCAAAGCCTGCTGGGAAGCAAGCTGTCTCTGCTCCACCTTGTCAGAGTCCAACACACACTCGCCATAAACACACACACACACACACAGAGCAGCGTGTTTCAGTTGTTTTACAGATTTAAACACACATACTGTCTGCATGTCTCAGCATTTACACACCCACAGTCCCCCACACACATACAACACACACACACACACACACACACACACACACACACACACACAGACACACACACAGACACACACACAAACACACACAGACACACACAAACACACACACACACACAGACACACACACAGACACACACACAGACACACAGACACACACAGACACACACACACACACAGACACAGACACACACAAACACACACACACACACACACACACACACACACACACACACACACACACATACCCTTATTTAAAATAATCATGCCCTGATAAGAGTGTTTGAAGGTCAGCTGTGATATGAACCTTTGTGCTTTCTGTTTCTCCTTCTTCTTTTTTAAGTTTTTCTAGTCTTACAGCTTCTTCCTCTGTGACATAAAGTTACGCTGTTATTAAAACATGTTAGGCTTGTTGATAAAACCAAAATCAATATGGGATCTGGACAAATCGATGTTGAGAATATGATACGTATGTGTAAGGCAATGCAAGCTGCACAAAGCATTTGCAATAACTAATGGCTGCAGGTAACAGGTAACATAAGCGCAATCAAAATCCTTATGAGATTTGGTGGGGATATTGTGTCCATATCCTCTTAATGTATTATATCCAAACTGAGCAAAAATTGTGTCATCATGTTGTTTGTGTTGAATTAAACTGAAATAACATTGAAGTTATGTAAAAAAAGCTGAAAATGTATGCTTTGCAATGTTTTTTCCGCAATACATCGAACAAGAAAAAATGCTGTTTTTTTTAATGGAGTTTGGATTAGGGTTTTTTAACGATACCAGATATTTGAACAGTACAATACTATTAAAAATCAAAAGTCCTAGGCAACTAATAACGTGAAATGTATTGTTTTTAATTGACAGATATTGCATGCTAACTCCTGCACACTGTTTAAATTGCACACATACCTTCCTGAAATGTTGGAGATGTGTTTGTGGAATTTAGACAGCGCTCTCCCTCTTTCACTCACTGCAGCTTATTGTTACAAATATGACTGAAGATCTGAAGTTTCTTTTAAAGCTTGGTTTACTGTTCAATCCTATCTATGATTAAAACAGCAGATGGTATTGTTTTATAACACCTCAGTTTGGATTGAACATTTCAGGACGTCAAGACCCCCAACACTGACAGAGTTTGCAAAACAAACTGAAGGCGTTGCTGAAGTACGAAAATCATGCAGTGCCTCGAGTGTCCACTGGAGGCTGGCTGCAGAAGCACAGGAAGTCACATACACACCCATTCTAAAAAGCCTGTTTTTACAGCAGAGATTAACATGTTTACAGCCTGGTTCAAAAAACCAAATGTCTCGATCGACACACACTGTACAGGGGGTGAATGTTTTGATGACTCATCAGTTTTGATTTGATGAAGGATAAGAGTTATTCACAATAAGGCGTGTAGCTGACCTGATTGACAGGTGGGCGTGGTGTAATGGTTTGTCAGGAGGTTTAAAACCCGCCTCAGCTCCAGCTCTCAGCCTGTCGTTAGGTTGACTGAAAGTTCAGTGGCAGCGCCCCCTGCAGGAACAGACGGGGGATGTCACTCAGGCTTTGTCGGTAAATATTTACAGTCTGGGTTCTTATCCCTCAGACTTTGTGTTTAAACTTGTTGTGCAAAGAGCAAGGAGTAAAACACACCTGAAGAGACAAAATCATCCTATAGGGGGAGCACTTTGAAATTCAGTAATTGTGACTAAAGATGATTTATTTTTTAGATTCTCCTGATGGATTTCTAAGTGACTTCAACTTTGTGTGTGTGTGTGTGTGTGTGTGTGTGTGTGTGTGTGTGTGTGTGTGTGTGTGTGTGTGTGTGTGTGTGTGTGTGTGTGTACTCAGGGACATGCTGATCACAGACCTGGCAGCCTCGTTAACCTTTGCAGAGCTGTGTGTGGAGGTGAGAGGGATGTGCAGCGTTGCCAGGCAGCAGCCCATCACACTGAAGTGGATCGATGATGAAGGTGGGTGTTCCTCCCGTCAGGTACTCCTCCTCAGTCTGCACACACCTGCGCCGCCCTTTAACACAAGCGATAAACTCTGGCTCAGGGACGCAGTGTGGAGGGCGGAGAGCCAGTTTACTGGGCTGCACGCCAGATTGAGATTCATCACAGTGATGCTGGAATGACCTGACGAGCTCAAATCCAACGATGTTTACTGTACTGTGAACACCAGCAGACACAGGGGGATCTGTGTTTTCTAGAATTTCATCATTCTTTGGAGTTTAAAAGTCACATATCCTCCCCCTATTCAATCAGTGTAAATAAGTCTCAGAGCTCCTCAAAACATGTGTGTGCAGTGTCTTGTTCTAAATCCACTCTGATCCTGTATTTGATCATGCCTATAAACCCCTCTATTTCAGCCCTGCTCAGAACAGGCTGTTTCTGTGTCTGTACCTTTAAATATGTAAATGAGCTTTGTCTGACCACGCCCCCTCTCTGGAAGGGCTTGAGTGTACTCTGTCTTTCTCGCTCCATGTCCTATTGTTTACGGTGAGAAGGCAGACTCAGAGGGCAGAACAAACACCTAGCTGTGGGAGTGTCACCCACCTGGGGAAGGGGCTACTGCCCTTTGTGATGTCATGAAGGGAAAATCTCCAAACGGCCTGTTTGAGCACACATTTTCTGAAAAGTGGAGCAGGCAAAAGACGGAGAGGATGGACTTGATTTCTGACTCTATCCACTGTCCAATCTCTCCATCAAAGGCACAAAAAGCCCCCCAAAAAATGTAACAAAAAAAAAAAAAAACAATATCAAGAAAACCAGGAGCAGTTATCATGTCTGTGGTCTCCCACAGTTTTTAAGTCAATTAAGATTTTAAAAATGTTAAATGTGTAGCAAGCATACTGTATGTAAGATCACTAAGTCTAAATCAAGTTGTGGTTTTTTGCAACAAGATAAAAGTCCAAATGTAACTCTGGTCATGTAGTAAATGATCTACAGTGCTGCTGTATGTCCTCTGAAGGGTACATGAAGCCAACGCCTAGACTTTACATTAAAAAAGTGTGTGTGTGTGTGTGTGTGTGTGTGTGTGTGTGTGTGTGTGTGTGTGTGTGCAGGGGACCCTTGTACGATCTCATCTCAGATGGAGCTGGAGGAGGCTTTTCGTATCTACAACCGGACCAAGAAGTCTGGACTGCTGCTGCACGGTGAGAAAGCAGACAGGACTTTATTATTGTCAGAATCATTGTTATTCTATTTACTACAATGCACGAGAGAATTTAGGGGAGTATATTTTGATTCATAAACAAGGCGATAAAACAGTAAAATCTCATAGTTTCATAATGTATTATTCTTGCTTGACGATGTTGTTAATTCTCTGTTTTTACCTTTATAGCACTTAATTTTGTTAAATGTTGTTCTATTGAGGACCTGTGCATTATTTTATTTCCTGTCAGGAGAATAAAAACATCAGATTAAAACGATTCTCCTTTCTCGCAGTGTTCCCCAGTATCCCGGAGCGCCCGGGCATGCCCTGCCCCGGAGAGGACAGTGAGTACAACAGCTCTCTGTTTTCCCTCTCTGACCTCTCTCTTTAGAGCTCCTAATCACAAGCAGACTGCTGATGCTGTGTCGTCATGGCAACACGAGTTAAAGCAGGTGAAGCTTGTACTGTATGTACCTGCCACCGGGCTGTGGTGTGAGTACAAAGTGTAGGTGGGTGAGAGCTCTTTAGATTCTTCTCCCTGGAGCTCCAGAACACTCTGCTGTTTTAGGACCGACCATCCTGCTGCCTCAGAGACTCAATGCAATCAAGCGTGTTTCTGCTGCAGGCGGTTAGATGAATGACGGTTTACAGGTTTTCAACGGGTTAATCAGATTGCAAGCTGCTCTTATAGCCTCCATAGGACTGTATTTGTACAGAGCGTTTTTAGCAGTAGACGTCGGCCCAGACAAAAAGCACAGCTCCCGATCTCAAATATAAAACATGCAGTAAAAAGTAACTGAGCAGTGTCGGTCAGACAGCGGCCGTTGTCAACAGTCTGTTGTCATAGAAACAGGACAGACGCTCAGCGCTTTTATTCTCAGCGCACGAACACTTCATGCAAGCGCCACCGAGCGCACAGCCAGCGCTTTTCTGCCCGGGGGAAAACGCCAGGTGGACAAGGGGCTTTATACGTTTATTGCAGCCACACTGAGCGACACAGATCTCCTCATGTTGGTACGACATGCAGGTGTGATGAGGCACCTGTGAATCAAGCTGGGGTTGCCATGGCGGTCGGCAGAAAGCGAGCTTTTGTCATAGTGGCTTTTATGTGCGGTGAAAAGAAAGAAAAAGAGGAGGCTCTTCTCTTTTAGCTACTCCTAACTTTATCTTTACTCTCTTATTATTTTAACTATTTATATTTGATTGCTATTGGTGTGAATTAGTTCTTCTTCTAAATCTGTTTTTGTTTCTTAATGGCGTGAAGTCCCCTTTAGCTCGTCACGCTAAAGTGACTCTGTAGGAGAGGATGTGCGTTCATTAAAATCAGACGCTTCATGCTCCTGGGATCTCGGCGGTGCTCAGCCAATTTCACAGCAGCTCTTCTGTTAGAGGAGGAAACGTTTCTCCGTGCAAATTAAACAGTTTGTCTCGATGACCTCTCCACAGCAGCTGTAAGTGGATTCACTCATGGGGGGTAAAACTCTGGAGACCTTTATAGTCCAGTTAGCAACCGAGATCGGTGGAATGCTAACAAACTTAGCCCAGCGCTAATAAGGCAAGATACCAGATTAAAAACACTGTAAAAATAGCTTAAACAGACAGTTGTGTTCAGCTAGCAGATTAGCTCGCTAGTGCTATCTCTGCATGTGTGATGTGACCCTCACCTTGCAGAGACTCTCCCCTGTTTGTGCTGATCAGTTAGCACAATTAGCTCAACGTCCACAGCGTCACTACTCCTCAGAACTTCCTGCAGGTTCTCTTTGAGTGAAAAAGAACGACTGAAAAACTACATGATGCTACTTTCTGTCCTGACCAGACAGTAAAACGGGCCTTTCTTTAGAGATAGGAAAGTGGATAGAACTAGGAATCGGGTACTTGGTCTGCGTGCACTAACCGCTCCTCTACTGTCGCCCCCATGTTGTAAAATATGCAGAAAAATCTTTCTGCAGCCTTTCCCACAGATCGTTTCCTCCTCTCCATGTCATATTTATTTCTGCAGGCCTCATAAATATCAGTTCAGTTATCGTGTAATGAAACCAGTCCCTGTGTGCAGTTTCTGCTCTCTCTCTTTTTCTCTCACGTCCTCTCATGTTGTTTGCTGCACTCGCTCGCTCTTTATGTGCTGTGACAGCACGTTTCAGCAGCCTGTGTGTGTGTGTGCTTCGGTGTGTGTGTCCGTCCATTTGATCGGAGGAGAACCTGGTGCTATTCCCTGAGGCAGATCACTGCTGGTTTACTGTGTGAAGAGCAGAGTGTGACTGTCATCCTGTCGGTAGGACACACACACACACACAGACACACACACACACACACACACACACACACACACACACACACACACACACAGTTGCTTTGTGTTTTCTCGTTGTTGATGTTTGTTTCGCAGAGGAGTGAGGGTTGGAGGGAGGTGCTGTAACTTTCTGTGTTCTCAAGGCTAACTCTGCATTCACATCTCCTGATTAAATATTTAGAGGCTCATACTTTGTAAAGATGTTGAAACATTTAAGAGCCAGTTCTCAAAAAAATCAAATCACATTAACATAACTTCTCATGTGGGATCCGGCCTCGCGAACACTTCTGGAATTCTTTGGTGTTATTTTCTTACATTTGGCTCCGCTGAGGCTCGCTACAAAACCCGTTACAATGGAGGTCAAATGCATAGTTGATTTTGCAGAATACACCCGAGTGTCTTGTGATATTTCTTTGAAAAGGGATGCTGCTGTTTCGTTTACTTTAGTGTTTCTAACTTTTGTCCTTGTGAGTGTATGAAACACTGGGCCCGATTACACGTTTTAACTTGGGCGCTCATAAAAGTTTAAGTTTGTTCAACTTTTGAGCTCAAGACGCGGAGTTGCAGTGCACACCTATGTCACTTTTTGAAGCAGCTGCTATTGGTTCCTACTTTGTGTCCTCACAGCCCATGAGCGTTACGGCCCAACGTGACACGCCAGATTAGCCAGGACTATGACCCAATGAGGGAGAAAAGATCTTAAAAAAGGGGGTTGCCAGTTTGGTCTGGTCAGTCCCAGCACAGCCAGCAGTACACTATTAATGGTGGTGAATTTTCAATCATATCAGATCCCTTGCAGTGTGTCATGGCGGCTGCTGCTGCACTTACGGCCACAACGTTGAGCGTGTTAGCATTTCACACTGGAGTAATGCTCGCACCGGGATAAAGGACGCAGTCAATGTTTTAGAGAGGTATTAAAAGTGTGTCTTGTACACCCGATTGTACGATATCTCAACTAGCATGTTATAAATGAGCCTCTCCAATGTAGCCACTTACAGTTGTCATGGTAACTGTTGAATGCACACATACTGCACATGCTAACAGTTTGCTAACAACGCTAGCATAGACCGATTTCATCTAAATGTTATATCTGCTTATATCACTGAACCTGGTCAGTCGACGTGCTCCTTTGGCTTCTCACAACGACTTTGTCGGCTTCTCCGCCCTCTGATTGTCAACAAATACACGTTGTCCAAGAGGGGGAGACCCTCCGTGGGCGCCAAAACTCACCAACCAAATTCCAATATATTGTTGTTTTAAACGCCATTTTTTAAATCTAAGAAATTCATTCAAATAAAATTCTTTGTTGATGTAGAAATCTGTCTCAACAAAAGGCTTCCCTTGAAAGCATCTTGAGTGTGTGTGTGTGTGTGTGTGTGTGTGTGCGTGTGTGTGTGCGTGTGTGTGTGTGTGTGTGTGTGTGTGTGTCTGTGTGTGTGTGTTCAGAGTGTGTAAATGTGTGTGAGAGGAGTGAACAGACCCCCCTCTGTGTGATGGAGGGAGGGAGGAGGTGGAAGTGTTGAGATCCTGGATGATGCTCTCGGTGCAGGCTGCCCTGCCTTGCACCGGATTCTCCTGCCACCAACCTCCCCCCTCCCTCTTGTCCCCGCACCTCCCACCAAACCACGCCTCCCCCCTCCCCCCCCCACACACAGCCCAACCCTCCTCCTCTCTCAGCCACCAGATTTTCCCAGCATCCCCCTCTCTCTCTGTCTCTCTCTCTCTTTCTCTCTCAGCTGTGTGGCACCGCTGTCCCTCTAGGGAGGAGCTTACAGCACTGCTGCATCACACTAGAAACAGGCGGGTGAGGGACACTGTGTGAGAGTGAAAGACAGGGAGAGAGAGAGAGAGGGAGAGATAGAGAGAGGACCATTGTACCGTGCAGATATCAGCTCTTAATACACAAAACAGGCACTCCATTTTTTTAAATTCTCCTATTTTTGTCAGAGCCTGTCAGGCTTAAAAAAAAAACAGAGCGATACCGCTTCATCGAGGGTAATGAGAGAACGAGAAAAAGAGAGAGGCTTGTGAAAAGAAAGGCGACTTTATCAGCTGTGAGGAGAGAGAGAGAGGGAGAGAGGGAGGCGGGGAGGGAGGGAGGGAGGAGGAGGAAATAATTTAATAAATCCCAGGGAGGAGAGCGAAAGCGGAAGGGATTGTCAGAGAGAGAGAGAGAGAGAGAGAGAGGGAGGGAGAGGAGGGGATGTAGCAGTGTGTGTATCCTCGCCGGCTCACCACACATACACACACACACACACGTACACACGCGCACACTTAGCCTGGATAATGTGCTGAAAGAGGTGGAGAGCGAGGAAGAAGGCAAACCGGTGAGCTATCTATCTCTGCATCCTTCATCTTTTTCATCTGTGTTTCCACGGAGACAAAGGACCGTCTCCTCCATGAATAACTGTTTCTGTGTGTGTGTGTGTGTGTGTGTGTGTGTGTGTGTGTGTGTGTGTGTGTGTGTGTGTGTGTGTGTGTGTGTGTGTGTGTGTGTGTGTGTGTGTGTGTGTGTTTGTGCCTCCGTGATTAGCATTTGTGATTGATTCACGCCCGGCCGCTCGTCGTGTCACGCATTGCAGGCAGGGATGGTGTGTGCATGCAACCTGCTAGCTGAGCGGCTAGCGCGGCTGGTGCCTGAGCCTGGCTGGCTTCCTGCACCGGAGGCTGTCTGGCAGACCGCTCAGAGGCTGCACCTGCCTGCCAGCGGGCGCGACATGCTGTTAGTGTGCATATGTGTGTGTGTGGAGGTGGCATTGTTGTGGCAGTGTGTGCTTTAACCATTACATCAGGCGGTATTGTAGCGAGGGCCGTCCACATCCTCGTATATAACGGCTGTGATGCAGGTTGATTACATGCACATTAGAACACCAGTTGGTTTTGATGCTTTTGCAGATCTCCATCCTCCCAGATAATGCATTTCTGTCAGAGAGGGTTTTATTTTATTTTTTAGAAATGATCCACAGATGACAGAATATAACCAAAGGCAACAAAGATCAATAAACATTGACCTTCAAACACCTTTTGATGCATCTTAGACGGCAGACAAACCAA